GGGGCTGGGCAGAGCGGGGAGGAGAGAGAGCGGTTCTGGGGACAGTGTTTCTGCCTCCTGGGCCAGGCGGTCCTCGGGGGGGGGTCCCCCCCCGCCTTGCCTACCTGCGCAGGCGGGGACTGCAGGGGGTTGTGCTCCAGGAGGATGCATTGCAGGTAGCGCAGGTGCCGGTAGCAGACAGGGATGCGAGCCACCCGGTTGTAGGAGAAGTCCAGCCGCACCAGGGGCAGCTCGCCCAGCTCTGTGGAGGCAACCGACCAGGGAGAGCCACCGGTCACCGCAATGCGGGGAGGGCCACCCCGCGCCCGGGGGGGGGGGGGGGGGGGCTCCCCAGGGAAGTGGGGACCGGGATCCGTTCAGCCCACGGAAGAAGCACTAACCTTCAGGGAGGCTGTCGATTTGGTTCCTCCGGATGCTGAGGTCCCGAAGAGACTCCAGGCCCCCCATGCTCAGCGGCAGGGACTGCAGCTCGTTGCTGCTGACGTCCTGGTTGGAGAAGCCACAGAGGCCATAGGTGAGCAGAGCCCCCGCCTGCCTGCCTTTGGGCTGGGACCGGCTTAGTCTTTGGGTGCGCCGGGCTCCCCAGAGGGGGGAAGGAGAGGCCTGCAGCGCTCCCGGGAGACAGGAGGAGGCCGGGGGGTGGGGAGGCCAAGGCCCGCAGCCTGGGATACCCAGCCGGGTGGCCAGGGGGCCCACGACAGGCGGGGCGCGGGTGGCCCATGCTCAGGTGCCAGTCGGGGGGAGGGGAGAGCCCCCCTGCCTTCCTCTGGGGCCGAGGGCTGGCCTACGTCTCCCCAGGACCTGCAGCTGAGGCAATGCCACAGACCCCGGCGACCAACGTTTCAGCTGGGACGGACCAAAGGACAGCACAGAAGCGGGTGTGGGGGGAGGCACTGCCCACCGTCCTGCTTTCCCTCCCACCCGATGCCCCGTGTCCCCCCCCTTCCCTGGCTCACCAGCTGGCGGAGGTTGTGGAGAGTGCCGATGTCGTCGGGCAGGCTCACCAACTTGTTGTTGCTGGCAATGAGGACCTTCAAGGGCAAGCAGCAGAGGCAGGCAGGCAGGGAGGTCAGCTGGTTCCGGCTGGGGTGGAGGTGGGGGGGGAGACAGAGCAAGAGTTGGCTGGGGAGGGGGTGCCCCGTCTGGTGTGTCCGCCACAGAGGACTCTGTCCCAGGCAGGGGTGCCATCGCCTCCTCGCCCGCCCCTGTGCACGACGGGCACCCTCCCCTCCCCACAGAGCAGAGCATGGCCACCGCCTCCCCGGCTCACCTGAGGTTCAGGTAGGTGAGGGCCTGGAGGTTGGCGATGGCTGGGGGGATGCTGCGCAGGCAGTTGTGATACAAGGTCAGCCCTTCCAAGGACATCAGGTGGCAGGCCGCCTCCGGCACCTCCGCAAAACGATTCCGGGACAGATCTGCAGGGCGGGAGGGAGAGGGATAGAGAGAAGAGGCCAGAGAGGTCCCTGGCAGCCCTTCTTCAAGAGGCCCAGCCCACAACGCAAGGAGGCCTTCCTCTTGCAGCAGCCCCAGAGGCGGGCGGCGTCAAAACTCAGCAAACAGCACGGTGCCGAGGCTGGAGACCCCCAACCGAGAACAGGGGAGATGCGGGCTCATGTTCCTACACTGCAACTAGGTGACTTTGGGCCGGCCGCTCTTAAGCTGCGGCCACCATTAACAGCACGGTGCCGAGGCTGGAGACCCCCCACCGAGAACTGGGGAGATGCGGGCTCACGTTCCCTACGCTGCAACTGGGTGACTTTGGGCCGGCCACTCTCTTAAGCTGCAGCCACCATGGGACCTCCTTGGCGCTGCCTGGCACCCCTTTGGTGATAGGCTCACAGGGGCGTGCGGGCGCTGCTGTTTCTGAAATTACTGAAGCCTGCCTGACATTCTGTTTTAAAGTGTTCATGATATATTCCAAGCTTTTAATTTGGTTATCCAACTGGCCTTGGTGGCTGGTTATGGCTTTCCACTGCGTGAGATGGGATGGTATTAATTCCATCTACGGCATGAGCCGCTGGTGGAGGCTGTTTGCCAAAACGCACACACCACCACAGACGCATTCGGCCTTTTGAGCGGTTGTCACGTTAAATTATCTGGGTAGGTACCACGTGCACACCACTGAAGTGGTCGCTGTCTGCATGCAGAGCATCAGACATTGTTCTTTCTTCTGTCTTTGCAAAGTTTTCTGTTTGCTGCACAACCCAAGGCCTTCCAGCACACACACACACAGCACGCTGGCCAGGACTCAGACTGGTGAGATCCGGGTTCCAAACCCCACTTGAGCATGAAGTTCTCCTGCTGAGCGTGAGCCAGTCAGTCTCAGCTTTAAATGGGGAGGGAAGGAAAACAGTGTAAACCCCACCACCACCACCACCCTCTTGAGTTCCTTGGAGAAAGAGTCGAATAAAAGTGTGGGAGTGAACAAAGTTCGGACAGGAGACAGGGACAGGGGTGGGCGGTGAAAAGGAGGAGGAGGTGGCAGAAAATGCAGGCAGGCTCCCCCCCCCCAAATCCTCCTGAGCCCCTCATTCCAGGCATTAAATTCTACCACCTCACAGAACTATTGCAAGGGTGAAGAGAGGAGAGAGCTACGCTTGGGGATCTCTAGTCACGGCTCCTAACCCACATCAGCTAAATCTTCCAGTTTAATATCCGCCATCACATGTCAGCAACGCCCTTTTGCTGTCTTCGCAGGACAAACAGGCCAGTCCTTATGCAGCAGAATAAACAGGTGCGAAAGAGGCATAAAAACACCAAAGGATTCAGAAACCAGCGGGAGAACACTTTAATTTCCCTGCACGTGCTGCTGCAGATCTGTCACTGTTAACCTACCCCAAAACTTCGAAGGGCGAATCTAACACGAATGTGCCGAATCAGAACTCACAGAAGAAATTCAGCAACCCCTCTCCTCCTGTCTACTTCTATCGTTCACAGAGCCCTGACCTGGATGGGGCAGGCCGGGCTTATCTCGTTAGATCTCAGAAGCTAGGCAGGCTCGGCCCTGGTTAGTATTCGGATGGGAAACCACCAAGGAAGTCCACGGTCACTACGCAGAGTTAGGCAATGGCAAACCACCTCTGACCGTCTCATACATCGACCAGGGCTACGGCCTTCTCAGTGGCGGCTCCACACTCGCGGAATGAGCTCCCGGAAGACATCAGGGCCCTAAGGGACCTCCTACAGTTCCACAGGGCCTATAAAACGGAGCTCTTCCGCCAGGCCTTTGATTAGGAGCCGCCACTAATATATCGACAACATCTGAATTGCCAACAACTGTATTGTTTAAGGCCCTGTGTTAACAGTAATGAGAACAGCTAATGATACCGGTATGGCCACATAGTACCATCATAAAATGGCCTTATAAGACGCGGTCGCCATCTACAGGCAACAGCACTTTACATATAAATTTGACTGATTGTCTGATTTTATACTATTGCATTGCTTAAAGGCATCTATGTTTTATTGTGTTGTATTTTAACCTGTCCAGGCAGGGAGGGCGGAATATCAATTCAACGAAATAAAACAATAAAGAAATAAATGCCTCGAAAACCCTGCAGGGTCAACCGTGAATTGGCTGGAACTTGACAGGATAAAAAATCTGTGTGTATGTGTGGGGGGGGCTTGACTCTCGGAAGCTCCTGCCCCCCCCCCAAGGTGCAACTGAACTCAGATCCTGCTCTTCTGCCGTTCTAATGCAGACTGACATGGCTAAACCTGTACAAATGTTGCGTGTGCCCCCCCACCCCCATATTTCATATGACCTCTTCCTTGATGAGAACCTGCTGATCCTGCCTGATGACACTCTGTCGGCCTGCACCCTGAGAGAGAGAGAGAGGGAGGGAGGGAGGGAGGGAGGGGCTGGGACCTCTGCCCTCCCTCCACGTTCATTGAGCCTAACAACCACCCATGTCCCCCAGTCCCTTGCAGAGGGACCCCCCCCACCCACCCCCCCCTCCCCCCCTCCCCCCTCTCCCTCCACCCCCCCCCCCCCTGTGATTCTGGTTATAAAGACGTCCAGTCAAAAGACCTCCCACGCCACAGGCGTCAGACGAAATCAGGTCTGACTAAGGAAAGCTTAAACCCGGTGCTGCCGGATTCCTGTTCAGGTTTCCTTTTCTTGCTCCTTTCAGGACGGGGGCAACGTTTTCGCAATGCTCCTTGCCTCGGGAGGAAAACCCATGGGGGCGGCATCCCCACCCCTGCGCACGCACACACCAATCAACACGGGCCCACGACCCAACGGGGTCTCTTGCACGGTGCCTGGTTACTTCAGGGGGGCTTGGGCCGGAGAGTCTCCCACCCACCAGACTGTGCCCCTGGAGGTCTGGTTAAATGGAGGAACACGGACACCGACCCCACCCGAAGGCTTCCTGAACGCCAGCCCTACAGGAACCTCAGGACCAGACAGCTGGAATGTCCAGAGGCCAGGCTTGGCAGGGGACTTCAAACTGGGCCCTGAAGGAGGAACAGGAGATGGGAGCAGGCGGGAGACGGAGGCAAAGTGTTCCAAAGACCCTCCTGGGGGGCGGAGGGGGAGGAGGAGGAGAAGGAGAAGAGACCAGCTGGCCCTGCCCCACAGCCAGAGCCAGGGAGTGCAAGACAGGGGAGCCGGACCGTCCTTTCTCCTGCACGCAGGAATCGTTCCCACGTGGCCTTCCCATCTGCGGTGGCCCCCCATACTACCGCGATGCCACTGTGATCCAGCAGAGGCCGGAATGCGGCCCGCAGCAGTTGGCCGGCAGATGCAAGCCAGGAAGCTGGAGCCTCCACGGGCAGCAGCCAAAGGCTGGGAAGCCATCAAGAAACACAAGAGACGCCTGGGGAGGGAGTGTGGAGACGACATCGTGCCAGGCGCTGTGTGATGGTGCCAGGCGCAGGGCCTCGGCAAGGTGCCCCCAGTGCAACTCCAGCTGTTCCACGTGCGGCTCCAGCTGTTCCGCTCCCCACCCACAAGCAGAGGAACGAAGGGCAATCTTTTCGGGGAGGGGGGGGGAGGACTCAGCAGCCTGGCAGATGGCAGGACAGAGCCAGGCTCCCCTCCCTGGTGACCGGACCGCCGGCCCATGTGACCCTTCGGGGAGACAGAGCCCGACTGTGTGTGTGCCCCGCCTGCCGGGCCGGGTAAACCTTTTGCCGGCCATATGATCCAGAGAGGACGGCGTTCGGCTTCTCAGAAGCACGTCTGTTCTCCCAGCTGGCCTGATGCAAGAGCCCGAGGGGAGCCGGCGAGACGCACGGTCACAAGGGCAGCACCGGGACGGCCGCTTCTCTTGGGCAGCCCTCTCCCACTCAGCCGGGGTCTGGAGATCGAGGCCTGCCTTAGGAGCAGCAACGCCACCTGAGCCAGGGGACACACACAGACTCTGTGTGTGTGTGATGTGCTGCCCCCCCACACCAATTAAACTGTCCAGGGTCCCCCTTTCAGAATGCCCAGGACGACGCATGGTGTCTGAAACCGGCCTCTGGAGCGGCTCTGCTCCTACTGCAACAGAGTGACATCCAACAACAGGGGCTTTGGGGCCCTCTTGAGCTCATCCATTTTAAAACCTACATCATTCCCAGCCACACATTCAGGATCACAGAACTGGTCCCGTACTAGGGCATTCATTTCCCCCTTCATGCCCATGGTACTTAACGGGCGCCCAGGCTACGGCTGCGTGCGCCGTGGGGACAGACCCACCGTTCCTGCCCTGCCAAGATCTGTCCGGGCTGCAGTGGCTCCCTGTGAATAGGGCTCAACTCGCTGCCACTCTCCCCCGCACCCAGAAGGTTTTTATGATGGGTAGGAATAGACATGTAAAATTTCCGGAAATTTTGAAACTTGGGAAAAAACGGAAATTTTCAGAAAAATTTGAAAAAAAAGCTACATTAGCATTTCTTTTGTCTTTTCTAGATTGAAAGTCATTCTGTTACTTTAGGAACATAAAATATGACTATGGACATTTTTACTTGGCATGAAATTATCACAACTAGTATATTAAAAATACAGTGTATCCAAACAATTGTTACAAACAGAATACCCACCCACATGCAAAACCAAAACTGAAACCTTTTTCTTTTCTTGAGAGTTCTCTCAGCCCCACCCACCTCACAGGGTGTCTGTTGTGGGGAGGGGAAGGGAAAGGAGTTTGTAAGCCGCTCTGAGACTCCAAGTGCAGGGCAGGGTATAAATCCAATCTCTTCTCTTCTCTTCTTCTTCTTGTGTCCACGCCGACTGTTGGGGATCAACCAGGGAAATCTGTGTGGCCTCGACATAGTGTCCCCAAGCCCTGAGATCCAGGCTGGCACCACGCCCTGTCTCCTGGGCCAAGAAAACACAGGGCCCCAGTTTCGGATTACCCCGTCCTCTGCCTCCCAAGCAGATGGAGGAACGGCGCTAGGGCAGTCCGCAGAGAAACACACCTCCCCTCTC